GTGCAAATGTGGACACATCAGGAGCATCCTCGGACGAGTGGTACTGTCGTGGGTATGGCCGGTGCGGGTATACGTAGGTGGGTCGTTCGAACGAGAGAGCGTGTTCGGAGAAGTGGTCGAAGATGCCTGCGTGTTCGAAGGTTTCGAAGTGTATGACGGGGTATGCTGAGTCGATCTCGTAGCCTCGGTGGCTGTCCTAACTTCATCGAAAACAAAACTGGAGTAGGTATGTGGAACGGAGAGATACGTAGCTGCGAGAACTGGGTCTTCGAGAGATGATATGTTGGCATAGGCAGAAATGGACGGGGTATCGTTTTCGAAGTCGATTACAAGTGCGACTTGCTCGTCATCGTCGGCTTGAACTACGTGTTCAAAAGTCCCGACTGCCTCTTCTGAAAAACCTCTTGGAACTTCGGACGTCCTCGAGGCATCGTAGGTACCGTGATCTGTTCGGACGTGTTCGGGCACAACAGGGTGATGGTTTGATTCTCGTCGGCGAAGTTCTTCACCAGGCTCTCAGTGATGACGTCGAATGGTCGACCTAGTAGTACGTCGTACGACGCGCGCTTGATGACGTGGATCTGGAGATACAAGGTGATCGGGCCGACTTGACATGGTACGTTTCGAACAAGTCCGAGCGAACGGTCGACTCCACCGTTCGCGGATTGCATGCTGAGGACGATGGTCGGGTCGAACGATAAACCGAGATGATAACACAGTGCTTCCGACATGCAGATGACCTGCGAACCGGGATCGAGAATGCAGGCTACCTTCTCCTTACGATCGATCGTGAGGTCGATCGTTCGAAGCGAATGGGACTCAGCCGCGACAGTGAGTTCGCTAGGTATCGCGCCTCGAGGCAACACCCTCAGGTACGTCTCGTACGAGTCTGGGATGATGGTAGCGTCTGGGTCGAGCTCGTTGTCGTGGCAGTCTACTAACGCAGGGTCGTGTGTCGGAAGTTCTTCGAACACAGCCATGTTCGTCGAGGTCGGGTTCGAGTCATGCGTCACTCTTCGGGGCGTCACAGCTTCGCGATAGCGGTTCCGAAGCTCGGGCGAGATGCTCAGCAACTCCTCGATGGTCAGCGGGACCGTTGGCGTGCTCATGGAGCGCTTGAAGACGGACTCGGCTAGCTGGGCCTGAACCACAGGTGCAAGATTCGTATACGAGCCGTCCCGGTTCTTAAACTTCGTAGGCGCTGCTCCGAAGTTTCGGGTCGTCGGTGGTGCATAGGTCGCGTCCCGAACATTTGCGAAGGGATGGATCGGACTCTCCTTGTCGGGCACTGACTGCGCTGGTGGCGCCGAGGCCTGGACGCTCGGCCTAGAGTCTGCAGGTGGCGTCGAAGCTCTCGGCGGTGGACCGGTACGCTCTGCACTCTTCGAACGCGTGGTTGGGGTCTCGATCGGTGCTGCTTGCTGGCTCGACACAGGCGGCGAAGCGAAGCGCACGGTACGCTCCTTCGAAGAGCCTCGGGAGTCCGGAGCTCGTGACTTATCGGTGGGCAAGTTCGCAGGACGGGCCGTGGAACGCTGCGGCCTCTTGTCAATCATGACGCCGTCGAACACGTGCTTCTTCCGCTGCTCTTGGGCGTAGACCTCCGTGATATGTGACAGCTGGTCTCGCATACGTTCGAGGGTCTCGCCAATGTCTAAGGCGTACGTCGCGGTCGGTGGGGTCTCGATCGCTTCGTAGAGTAGCTGGGAGGTAGTCGAACCTTGAGTGGCACCGCCCGAACCGTTCGAAGCGTTCGCGTTAAGTCCGACCTTGCCGGTGCGACGCGCGTACTCATAGATGGCGTCACGGAGGGTCTCGCCCTCTCTCCTGCTCATGAATCGACCGTCGAACGACACGACCTTGCCGTCTGGGTTCCTCCGGCACAAGCCCTTCTTGGCGTCGTCTTCGAACATTTCGCAGTCGTTGATGCGACAGCCCGAACGACCGCAGTAGAAGCAGTGAGGGCCGTCTCTACCGCCTGGTGGTCCGGGGGACCGACTCCTAAACTGCTGAGCCTCGAGAGTCTTGATCAGCGTCTGCAAGACTGGTAGGAGGTCTTCGTTCTTAACGCCGGACGAATTAGATGGTGCGACGTTCGAAGGACCTGAGGGGACGTTCGAAGATTGGACTATGACTTGCTGAAACGTCGAAGCGGGGGTAGGGCCGTCTAGGACCCATTGAGCGGCGATGTAGATCTGCGCGAAGGTCCATGGCTTGCGTCTCGAGTGGTCGGGGTTCTTCATGAACAAGCGTTGCTCGATCGGTCCCCAAAGCGCTGGGGGAAAGCCTTGCTGGAACCTTCGATCTTGTTCGAGCGTCGAGAGGGAGCCCTGAGCGATGAGGTACTCTGAGATCATGTAGAAGTCACGGTAGTAAGCGGCGAGGTCAAGCGCGTTGCTCAGACCAAGCCTCTGACGTTCCTGGACCACCTTGTCGAGGTCGTCCGTCGAATACTTGTGTTGGTCGTCAGCACCCGGGTAGAGTGTTCGAAGAGCTGTTTTAAACTCGTCGTACGTCTTCGTAGCGTCCTTGTACGTCGGCTGCATCATCCACAGGTCCGAGACCCGTATCGGCGGGTACCGGACGGCCCATGACTTCTTGTCCGCATTGGTGGTGATCCCGCATCGCGTGAAGTGGGTCTCGAGGTCCTGGAAGAAACGGTTGAACGCGAAGGGCTCTGACTCATCAAAGACCGGCGCAGTCGAGTGACCGCGGGCAGGCATGGAAGCCGCCTTCGAAGCTTGTGCTGCTGCTTCGGACATGTTCGTATCGGTGTTCGGAGGGTTCGAAGGATTTGGTGGATCGTTCGAAGGGTTTTGGTTGTCGCTGGTCGAAGTCCTTCGCGGCTCGGACGACTCTGGTCCTGGAGGGGCTAACGACGCTCTGCGACGAGTGGGTAAAGGTAGACGTGAGGTGGTGGCTCCACTACGCGTCGTGATCGGCGTGGCTGAACTGAGGTCCTCTCCTTCGAGAGGCGGCGACGGCGTTAGGGACGGTAGAGGAGAGCCAAAGACTCGAGACTCTAGGTCGTCTGAGAGCGAAAGTCTTCGAGCACGTCCGGGATGAGATGGAGATGGAGTAGTAGGTACTTGGTCTCGAACGGAGCGTTCCTGATCGTCGTGATCGGGGACAAGCTCGACGTGTTCGGACGAAGAGGGGATAGTCGAAGGTCCTGGTAGAGGGTTGCTATGCCTGCGAAAGGCGGCGGCGGATCCGGGACCTAGACGACTGTCGATAGCGAGTGCGAGAAGAGGACTTTCGTAGTCTCGGTAGTCTTCAGGGTTGACGTCGAAGTTCCGACGCGGCGGAATCTTGCTCTATATCCCCCTCGCGGTGGGCTCCAAGATGACGCGACCGAAAAGAACACAAAAGCCACACAAAAACCCAACCGTGAGGTAGAGCAGTGGTATGCGAGGCCTCTGCGTCTATGAGATGTACGGGGGACTGTACAGTGGTCTAGGTAAGAAGGAGGAGGACGGACAAGACTCCGAACGACGTGGGAGAGCTTCGAAGATGTCGAAGACTGTTCGAAGACGAGGGCTAAGCCTCGAAGGTAGGAGGGGGAGTTTCGACAGACGTGTCGAACGAACGGTGACAAGGAAGGCGAGCGACGGCAGGAGAAGAAGTGTAGGGCCTCTCGGGGCAACTACGAGCTGACGAACGTACTGGCGAACTGACTGACTGACTTCGAACGTACTGACTGACTGGCGAACTTGCTGACTTCGAACGTACTGGCTGACTGACGAACCTCGCCGGTGCGAGGTGAGATTGAGAGGGTAAGGGGGTCTCTCCGATTCGAAGGGGACAAGTCCCAGAGTATATACAGGAAAATACGGTCCGAAGACCAAGAGAGCCAAGAGAAATACAAGACATGATGAATGAAAGTGATAAGGAAGGCAGCCAATCGGAGAATGTCACAACGCTCGACCCGGACCTACTAACACATGAGAGAATCCAACTCGGCCTTCCGCAAGTTCCGAATAACGGGCGACCGTCCCCCGAACGGCGAAGGTCATAACCGGAGCCGGTGACAGTCCTCGAAGATATGAGACAGCCGCAGGAGTTCGCCTGACTTACACGAACATGCCGCACCTCGACCCAACTTCCGAAGCGTATGCTGCCCGCTACTATCGCCTCCTCGAAGTCCTCAAGACCGAGGGACTTGTCGAACCGCGATACGATGCCAACAGTCCCGGAGAGTGGCTGGCTTGGGCCCACGGGGTCCGCTGGATGATCGTACGTGCCTCCGAACATTGACTATCCTTCGAACCATCGTACCGACCTTCGAACAGCGCTTCTTGTTCGAGTCCCGTAGCCGGGCTATCCTACTAGCGAACGATACGCTTCCTGCTCCCAGGTCGTTCCCCGAGATCGACGAGTTGATGCGTTACCTCGACGAGGTCTTTCACCGCGATGGCAACCAGGGAGATATCCTAGGTTCGCCCTACCCTACGATCGCCTGGTCCGAGACCTTGGTGCTGCTCGAACAAGTCAACCAGGCCGAGCGTCGTCCTCTCGCGAACCCACAGTATCAGCGCGAGTCGTTGATCCTTTCCGACTTCCGCCAGCTGCCCGACAACCTCGAGTCCATGGGTCGAGCGATTCACAACATCGCAGTCGACCAGCGTCGCTCGCACGGCACCCTTGTCGGATTGCTCGAAAGCCTGCTCGAGCGCGTCAACACTGACCGTGGCTCCGACGCCGGTCCGTCTGTTCGTAGGGGTAGGGGTGGTGGTCATGGGTGTGGAGGTCGAGGCCACAGATACGAGAGTTGCCGAGGCCGTCACTAGTTAGTTTGACCTAGCCGTGTACTTGCCCGTAGTCCTACCAATGTAGTGACTCTTCTAAACCGTGTGACTTCGCCGCTAAGGGTTCCGAACATTGACGCTTGAGCTTCGAACATCGGGCGGTTCCCTCGAACGGACGGATAGCGCGTCGACCATACGGACTTAGTATACTGTCGTACCGACCGTAAATGGCGTTTTCGGTGGGTAGGTGAGCTAAGGGCTCATCACCGGGTCTGCACCTCCGGGATATTGAGGAACCGCGCCGACGAACATCTGGTCGGCCGGCTCATGCTCTTCCAGCATCTCCTTGATGAGCTCGCGGTAGTCCACATTCTCGCTGTCGAGGATTGCCCGGGCTGTTGGAAAGCATCAGCATTAGATGTTCAAAACACATTGAGAACTTACCGAGAATTTCCTGACGTGCTCGCATAGCACGGTCCCTGGCCTCCATCGACTCAAGCCGCTCCCGGAGGTCCCGGACATTCGATTGGAGCTCGCGGATGCGCAGCGCCGCGAGTGTTGGATTCAGGTCGTCCTCCTGGAGGACATCGATCGGGCCCCCGAACTCCACCAACTCACGCTTCCTGTCAGCGACTAAAATGGGATAGATGCGACCTGCATCATCAGCACACAATACGAGAATGAGACGTACATGCACTTACGAATGTCGGCGACGTCCCGGACAGGACCCTTCGTCTTCCTCGTACGCACGGGCTTCTGCTGGACCTCAGAGCTGGGCCCAGCCTCCGCGTTCTCCTGAGGCGCCGGCGTAACGGCCGGCGATTGTTTGACCGCCTTCTGCGCCTTCTTGCCAGCCTTCTTGGCGATGGTTGTCGGTCGCCGAGAAGGTGTACCCGCCCGTCGAGAGCTGCGCCGGCTGCCGTGAGACGTGACCGAGGCAGTGTCAGCCCGGTCGAGCTCGTCGTCAGTCGTGGGCGGAGCTTCCGCCTCGCTTTGCGGCTCGTCGGTGCCCTCGGACTCTGTGCCAGAGCCGGCCGAGGAACGTCTCTTCGAGCCCTTACGCCCGCGGGACTTCTTGGGCTTAAACGTGCCCTCGGTGTCGATGGGCTCGCACTTCACCTTCTTGACGTTGCAATAGTCGCATGCCGGCGGTGGGTCCTTCATGGTGCCGTCCTTCTTGAATTCGTAGCCGTCCGGTGTTGAGATGTAGCAAGGGAAACCCTTGCATTGCGTGCATGGGTCGGGCTGCGTAAGATGTGAGTCGCGATGACACCCAGGGCGGGTATGAAACTTGCCTTCTCACGCCGGTGGACGAGCTGCCGAACCTTCCCCTCCACGTACTCCATCTCGAACTTGGCCCGCTCGCCGTGGACCTCCTCTGTCTTCTTCACGAGGATGCCCTTCGGCGGCTTTGAGCCTGGTATAGATGACGGTTAGAGTCCAACAATGGCAAGCTGAACACGACGTACCTTTTGCCCGCTTTTTCTTCGGGTGTTCCTCCTCGTCCATCTCCTGCTCGGTCTCCTCGTCCTGATGTCCAGCCGCCCGCTCGTTGTCGCCTTGCTCATCCTCGGGTGATTGCGCGCGCTGTTTGCCCTTCGATTTGCGAGTAGGAGTCGGCGCCCGCTTGCGCTTGGTACCCGCCGATTCGGTCCGTCCAGGGCCCGGCGTCTTCTTGCTCGACGCGGTCTTCCTAGTCTTGCGAGGTGGTGTCTTCTCGACCTCGTCGACATCCATCCCGTCCTCCTTCACCGGGACCTCCTCCTCACCGTCGGAATCCGCCGCTAAGTCCTGGAAGCGCACCGTCGTCGAAGGCTGACGAGACGGGCCGGGAACGGGGGTCGGCGAGCGAGGGCGTTCAGGGAGGCCAGACGGCGCACGAGGATTGCGCCACGCCGAGGTGAGGACCCGTGGATCGTCCGGACGGATGCGGGACAGTTTGAGGCCTTCCCTCGGCGAGTGGTCCAGCTCGAGAATCGCTGAGAGCAGGAACAGCGGCACCATCGGCCGCTGCTCGGGAGGCTCGCCCGCCGTCCGACCGCTCACAACTGCATGGACCGCCCCGTACTACCACAAACGTCAGGGACCGAAAGAGCGATATATGTGCGTACTTACCACACAATCAATGAACTCTCCAAGCTATAGGTGAATGGTTAGATTCCTGGACGAGCTTACATGAAGCCCTGGGTACTCACAATCTCCTCTGCCAGCGCCGCCTCATCCTCCTGCCTCACCAAACCATTCCCCATCATCTTCAGAAGCTTGGCGTTCGTGATTTCCAGGAAATGATTGAGGTGGGGGCGAGGCATTCTTAGGCCGGCAGGAGCCGGCGCGGTTGCTGACGTGGCGGGGGTGGTAGACGCGGCAGACATGGCAAAGCAAAAATCGAGCAGGGGCCGAAGCAAGCGTGGAGGTGCAGCGGAGAGGAGCCGGGATGAGAGAACGCGACGGTGAACGCGGAGACAAAGGAAGAAGAGCGCCGGCGATCACGAACTTAGCAGCCACACTGCAGCCACACGGCTCACGTGACTCCGGTTATGCCGCGGGAGCGCTAATGGGCGATCAACTTGGTGATCGCTCGCCACACCTCTTCCTCCTGACCACTTGCGTATCCTCAACCCATCGTATCGACAATGGCCAAGCAAGGTATGTCCCCGGCCCAATCGCCGGGGCCTACCACTCACAACTCTTCTTCCAGCCTCTCGCAAGAAAACCGGCGGCCGTGACGTGTCAACTCGTCGGCAGGGATCGCGTGGCGGCCGGAACGCCCGCCAAGCATCGAGAAGCCCAATCGGGCTTGATGATGAGGTACGTACCGCCGTGATCTGCTCATCACGCTCCAGTTGACGCATCCTCGGTAGCCGATTCACCCTGCGTCGGGTCCCAATGTTCACGGAGCTAATACGGGTGCCGGTCACAGTGGCGGGCAGGCTGTCCCCGGCCGACTATTCAGCATTCCGAAGGACGAGCCCGGCCGACTCTTCAACATTCCCAAGGAAGAGCCCGGCCGACTTTTCAATATTCCGAAGGAAGAACCTGCAGATGCGATTCTGGTATGTGGACTCATGCCGAGTAATTGAGCAATACTAACCTCCGCTACCTACCAGCCAATTGCCACCCACGCAGCATCCGGCCGCAATGTCCACGGACCGAGGACAGATGCCGGTGGCAGTGGGGAACCAATCGCCCCGGGCAAGCTCTTCAACATTCCAAAGGAAGAGGATGTGGAGATGGCCGTGGTACGTGTATTCTCGCCGAGCAGTTCAGCCTCATACTGACGGAAGCTGCTGCTAGCCTATTGCAGGTCCAGAGCGTGCTCGCTCGGCGTCGGTGGCTCCACGCCTATTTGGAATCCCGATGGAAGTTGATTCGGACGTTGGTACCGACGAGAAGGTGAGTCTCGGTTGAATGTTGACGGTGTGCATGTACTCACCAACATGCGCATAGGTGCCTGTCAAGTCAGCGCTGGCGACGGTGAGAAGGGGAGGAAGCTTGTTCGGCATCCCAACGGAGGATGAGATACCGGTAAGTTCAATGGTCTGTTCACAATGATTTTCGCTGATTTCCTGCCAGCAGGACATGGATCCGCTTGTCGCGAAGATGTTGGCAACAACACTAGCATCGCGGGCCGGGAGCTCCGTTGCACGTAGTGAGGTGTGTCATACCCACCGTTGCCCGAGCAAAGCAGATACTCACATTGTGCTCGGTGTAGTCGCCGCAAGAGCGTGTGCCCGCCGAGGTGGATGGCCGTGCGCACAGCCGGAAGCTATTCAACATCCCGATGGAAATCGCTGATGAGGTAAGTCCCGGCACTCACTCGGAGCAGCCAGAAACTCACTGCCGGTAGACCGCCACCGACGATCATGAGGGGTCCCTTCCGCCGGGCCCGCCGAGCAGGGGAACGGACGAGCCGGCCGACGCTCAGAAGATACAAGCTGACGAACCGGCTGGGCGTGGCGCAAGGGCCGCAAGCTGCGACTCCGACGTCGTGATCACCGGATACACGCCCGCACCACTGACGCACGCCAGCAACGACTCCGACATCGAGATCACGGATGGCCGACCGGACAACAGGAGCACCTCGAGCGGCCGACGCGCTGATGGTAAGGCCCTCCGGGCGCCGGCCTTCCCCGAATTTTCAGGGTATCAGAAAAGCGCACCGGTGGGCCCGAAGTTCGGCGAACTTGGTTGGGTGCCACCGCCTTGGAGGCGTGACATCAGCCCCTTGGACGGGGTTGCGGCATCCCCGGGGTCGGGGAGCAATGTGCTTGGAGGCGTTAGCCCCAGCACAGGTGAGGAAGAAGGCACCCGCAAGGACAAAGGAAAGTCCCGTGAGTTGCCCGCCGAGCCTGACAGGATGGTCCCTGCCAACATTACCAGCACCCTTGCTCCACACCATGAGCAAGACGATGCATTTTTCACCTTCGCTCCGACTGCGACGAATGCGTTCAATCCGGCTCCGGAAACCCGTACGTACTCATTTCATTTGCTCATACATAGACACGCTGACATCCATTTCTTTGTGTCAGATGGCGGTCTGACCGGCGCAATGTCGTCACGAGTGCTGGAGTTGGCCGCCGAGCGTGCCGCGGTGATGGCACACATCGATTCGTTGTTGGCACTGCAGCGCGCAAACAACCAAAACAGGGCGGCAGTAGCATGGGTGAAGGAATGGTATCGCGAGGCGAGTGGTTCACGGTAGACAGATTTGTAATGCTCTGTACGACCGCCGTTGTTCAATGCATCACATACCTCGGCTGCAAAAAGTAACCGGCCGTACCTACCTGAGTTGCACTCGCCGGCCGGACCGTTAGAATCCACGGCCCGAGGTCGGTACCTTCACCCATAGTTGTGACAATACCTGAGTCGCACTCGCCGGCCGGACCGTCAGAATCCACGGCCCGAGGTTGGTACCTTCATCCATGTATGAGGCAATACCTACGTCGCACTCGCCGGCCGGACCATTAGAATCCACGGCCCGAGGTCGGTACCTTCACCCATAGTTGTGACACTACCTGAGTCGCATTCGCCGGCCGGACCGTCAGAATCCACGGCCCGAGGTTGGTACCTTCATCCATGTATGAGGCAATACCTAAGTCGCACTCGCCGGCCGGACCGTCAGAATCCACGGCCCGAGGTCGGTACCTTCACCCATAGTTGTGACAATACCTGAGTCGCACTCGCCGGCCGGACCGTCACAATCCACGGCCCGAGGTCGGTACCCTCATCCATAGAGAGCCGAAGCCGGTACCTTCATCCATCACTGAGGCGATACCAAAGTCGCATTCGCCGGCCGGACCGTCAGAATCCACGGCCCGAGGTTGGTACCTTCATCCATGTATGAGGCAATACCTAAGTCGCACTCGCCGGCCGGACCGTTCGCATCCACGGCCAAGGGCGGTACCCTCATCCACACATGGGACCATCCCTGAATCCCTGGTGGACCGCCACCGGCCGGACCGTTGGGAATGGTGTATT